GTCTAAGCATTAATAGTAGGGAAAGCCCCTTATACTGGAGCGCGGCCACTTATGAAGTGTTTCTTGGAGGTTATAGTACATTGAAGAATGATCATATGACTTTTTACATACGCCATGTAACCTGTAAATGCGAAAAAGCTGTTTCTATTGCAGTTTTGCGAATTATTCCTTTTTCGCATTGCCAGAAAAACCACCTCATGCGAGCGTAAAAACTTTTTTGCGATATATGGGCGTTTTTGCGAAATTGACGCGTTTCCATTAGGCGTATTTTCAATTTGCACAATTTGAAGGGTAATGGAAACGCGCTTAATATTACTTATACCTCACAAATGCGTCTTTATATCCCCAAATGTGACTAAACTTTTCAACTGGAATTTATTTTTCTTGTAATTGCGACCCACAGTGCGAGTTTGTATCTTACACAGACTTTATATCAAACTTGTAATTTTTGTGAATTGTTTTTAATTCTTGTAAATTGTAAAGTTGGAATTACAGGAAACATTACATCTCGCACTGCTTTGTATTTCGCAATGTGACTTTATGTCAAGAAATTTCAGTATTTAATAGCGACTTTACAGATTTTGTGACTTTATATCACCCAATGTGTCTCGCAAGTACAACTTATATCTCCCAGCTGTGCCTTTATATCGTACAACGTGACATCATTTAAAATGTTTCTCACATTTACTTGAGCAAACAGTGTATCTAGTAATTTTTTTTTACAAAACAATTTGGTTCAATAGAATCATGTTTTCAACTGAAAACAATTACACTGTTACCAAGAAAGAAACAGTCCAACTCTCTGTTCTGGATGTTGCTGTAAAAGCGTTTTATTGCAAAGTACAGAAAATGCTTTTCCTTTTGGAATTTAGAAGTCAAATTTTCACATTCTCGATCTTTTATGCAAAACCAACAAGCAATGGGTGAAACTCTGTATGTGAGTGCAATAATATCAAAGGCCATTTGAGCAGGGCTGATGGGTGCATGACAATGTTTCAAGTCTGTGCTGCGTAAACACATGAAACAAAAGCTACGTTCACAGGGTATCGAGGCGTCACAGGCTCCATCCACTTAGCCACAAAATAATGACATCGCCTGCTGGCACATTTGTTATCGTTTGAACCATGCATGGCTTATTTTCTCTTAAATTAGGATTTTCACAGAATAACACTGCTTTTGACCTATGATACACTATACTATACAAAATACAAACAAAACATGAACACAACAAAAAATACAAATAAAAACGTTTGTGACATTTACACAATTTTACAGTATCTGTCTCATGTTTAGCCTCTACATCAAGGTTCTACTTTAGATGTATCTAATCTCTTATCCACATAATACTCAGAATAAAAATCTGAGGGAAAGAGGTGAAAAAAAGTCTATAATACTCAATTTTCCAATTCCTTTCGAAATTGCATGCTACACATGATAAGGTGCTGAGTGGTACTACTATCATTGACAATGGACTTGTATCTAAAAATATTCAGTATTTTGAAGAATCGTCATGCAGCTCTTTTCCATACATCCATGTACTTTGACCAATTGTTAAAGGGGTCATATGATGCGATTTCAATTTTCCTTTCTCTT